TATCTTTGTTGGTTTTTTAGGTTTTTTTTCTGTAATAATTGGGGTTTTGCCAGATTTTTTGCCCATAATTCCATTTTTTTGATGTATTTGTAATTTTTTTTTTTCGAATTTGGGTTTTTTTTCCCAAATTTGTGTTTTTTCCCCCCTCTCCCCCACTCGGGGAGGTCGTTCCTGGGGCGGGGCAGGTGTAGGTGTGCTCAGCGTGCCGGCACCCGCCCGGCATTCCCAGCACCGGGAAAACAACCGGGATTGCCAGAGCTGCCCCAGGGAAGGGCCGGGAATGGGGGATGGAGGCGTCGCGGTGGCTCCGAGGTCCCGGTGCCAGGATATTCCCCCCGGAACAGCCCAGCCCGGCTGGAAACTGGGAATCAACGGTTTGATCCATGGAAATCCATGTTCCTTCAGGGAATTATCCCAGACCGGGATGGGAAGGGAATTTGTGGGGAAACCGAGTCACAGGGTGGATCCACCTGGAAAGGCGAATCCTGCTGATTTTTGGGATTAACCCTCAGGATTAACTGTTAGGGATAAATCTGGGATCGGTTGGGTCTCCAGCACCCACCAAGGGCATCTTTCCAGGGAAAAAGGACAGAGGAGAAAGAGGATGGAGACAACCTCGGGGTTGATCCAGCCCTGGAATAATCTGGGGGGGTTGTTTCCATCCAGGATCCCAAGGAGAAGCCGAAGGAAGCACTGGCAGCACCAGGACATGGGGGGGGGGAACATTCCTTTATTGGACTCAGGGATGTCAGGGAACATCCAGTGGCCTCTGGAATCTCTACGGACACGAGATGTCTCCTGGGGGATCCCGTGTCCAGCTGCATCCCAGTCCCCCTCCCACCCGTATCCAACGGAGACCCTGCTTGCCAACATTCCAACCGGGACCAAAGAGGATTTTTCCAGCCTGGAATGGTGTGGGGGGAGATTTTTCCAGCCTGGAATGGTGTGGAGAAGGCGGGAGGGGTTGGAGGGGCTCGGGGAAACCTCCGCTCCCTACGGAAAAAAAAGAAGGGACGATAATGAAAAAAAAAGAATTAAAGATTAAAATAAATAAATAAATAAAAGTACCACGAACATGGATTTTCCCAACCTCTGGCATGAGGAGGGCGGGATGGGGCCATGAACGTGGATTTTCCCAGCCTCTGGCACGAGTGGGATGGGGCCATGGACACAGATTTTTCCAACCCTTGGAATGAGTGGGATGGGGCCACGGACACAGATTTTTCCAACCTCTGGCATGAGCAGGATGGGGCCACAAACATGTATTTTCCCAGCCTCTGGCATGAGCAGCATGGGATCACGGACACAGATTTTTCCAACCCCTGGCACTAGCGGGATGGGGCCACAAACATGGATTTTCCCACTCCCTGGCACGAGCAGGGTGGGGCCACAAACATGGATTTTCCCAACCCTTGGAATGAGTGGGATGGGACCATAGACAGATTCTTCCAATGCCTGGAATGAGTGGCATGGAGCCACGGACGTGGATTTTCCCACCCCCTGGCACGAGCAGGATGGGGTCACGGACGTGGATTTTCCCACCCCCTGGCACGAGCGGGATGGGGGCCGCCAATCCCCACTTTTCCAACCATGGGATGGGGGAGACGCAATTCCTGGGGTGGCTATCGGGGTGGGGCTGGGGTTGGGGGCTGATCCAGCCCGGGAATAATTTGGGGGGGGTTGTTTCCATCCAGGATCCCAAGGAGAAGCCGAAGGAAGCACTGGCAGTGCCAGGACATGGGTGGGACATTCCATTATTGGTCTCAGGGATGTCAGGGAACATCCAGTGGGCGCGGGACGACCCCGTCCCACGAGCCAAACCCACCTGCGGGGCCGGAGTCGGGCCAGGAATCACTTCTCCGTCATCATCCTGACGAACTCCTCGTAGTTGACCTGCCCGTCGTTGTTGCAGTCGGCCTCGCGGATCATCTCGTCCACCTCCTCGTCCGTCAGCTTCTCGCCCAGGTTGGTCATCACGTGCCGCAGCTCGGCCGCGCTGATGTAGCCGTTGCCGTCCTTGTCGAAGACTCGGAAGGCCTCCCGGATCTCCTCCTCGCCGTCCGTGTCCCGCATCCTCCTGGCCATCAGCGACAGGAACTCCGGGAAGTCGACGGTGCCGCTGCCGTCGGTGTCCACCTCGCCCACCATGTCCCGCAGCTCGGCCTCGGTGGGGTTCTGGCCCAGCGAGCGCATGACGGTGCCGAGCTCCCGCGTGGTGATGGAGCCGTCGCCGTCCCGGTCGAAGAGGGAAAAGGCCTCCTTGAACTCGGCGATCTTCTCCTCCGACAGCCGCTCGGCCATGGCGCTCCCGGCTCTGCCCCGGCACGTCCCGCACTGCCTCTGCCTAAGGCGGCAGCAGGAGGAGGAGGAGAAGGAGGAGGAGGAGGAGGGGGAAGGAACTGGGAGAGGCTGCGCCTCAGGAATGGAGTAGTTGGATCCTGGCACAGCAGGCAGGGGAGTTTTGGGGTGTTGGAGGATGAGGAAGGAACTGGGAGAGCCTCAGGAATGGAGCAGATGGATGCACAGTAAAGAGGGGAGTTTTGGGGTGTTGGAGGAGGAGGAGGAAGGAGGTGGGAGAGGCTGAGCCACAGGGATAGAGTAGTTGGATCCACAGCAAACAGGAGTTTTGGGGTGTTGGAGGAGGAGGAAGGAACTGGGAGAGGCTGAGCCTCAGGAATGGAGCAGCTGGATCCTGGCACAGCGGGCAGGGGAGTTTTGGGGTGTTGGAGGAGGAGGAGGAGAAGGCAGGAGCTGAGAGAGGCTGAGCTGGCAGGAATGGAGCAGCTGGATCAACAGCAAACAGGGAATTTTGGGGCGCTGGAGGAGGAGCAGGAGGCAGGAGCTGGGAGAAGCTGAGCCTCAGAAATGGAGCAGCTGGATCTACAGCAGGCAGGGAAGTTTTGGGATGTTGGAGGAGGAGGAATGAACTGGGAGAGCCTCAGGAATGGAGCAGCTGGATCAACAGCAAACAGGGAATTTTGGGGCGCTGGAGGAGGAGCAGGAGGCAGGAGCTGGGAGAAGCTGAGCCTCAGAAATGGAGCAGCTGGATCAACAGCAAACAGGGAATTTTGGGGCGCTGGAGGAGGAGCAGGAGGCAGGAGCTGGGAGAAGCTGAGCCTCAGAAATGGAGCAGCTGGATCAACAGCAAACAGGG